CAAACCATTCTGGGATTCTATGACCCTATCTGTTTCTTACTGGTAAAGCAGCTGACTGTGTGAGTCAGCTGCTGGCTGTAGTTTGTGTTCTGGTCAAGGGATGAGTGAGAGGTTCACTGTTTCCTTCCCCCACATGATCAGTCCTCTAAACACCCTGTGGGATAGTTCTGTGATCTGTCACCAGCTGTCCCTTAGTTTGATGTGAAGCATTCCTCTTCTGTCTTCCTTTCTGAGTTGAAGATCTCTGATCAGTAGGGTATTTGTGCATCTCAACGGTAGCCTACTGTCACATTTGGATCAGATCTGAATGCCCATCATTCCCCATAGCAAGGAAACCTTTGGGCTGGAAAGGAAGTCTGCGGGTTGGAGAATCAGGACTGCAAGACATCCCTCAGCCTAAAGACAGTCGTGGGGCTGTGAGGGATGTCATCATCCCTGGAGTGTTCAAGCATCTCTCACAAAGTCCAGGGACCCTGGAATGACTGCAGAAGAGTTTACTTTAGATTGCTGTCACCTAAACCTTATCTGTGAGTAAGTTGCTTCTTTCCTGGTCTGTTTAATGTTTTCCTCAGTGCATTTGGCTGGGACCACGTTACTCAGGGCCTGGTGGATCTTGGCTTCAGCCTAATGGAATCATACGAACCAAAAAAGCCCTTTGGAGGAAAAGCTGCTGATACCACTTATGGCCTTTCAAAAATGCCAGCCCAACAGGCGTGCAGACTGGGAGCGAGTATCCTGCTAGAAACGTTTAAGGTAGTGTTTTGGAGGGGAGGGAACTCTGTTCTTACTGTCTCCTGGTAAATGGTGCCAAAACCTTGCCTGCTGTATGTATCCTGAGTGTTTTACAGACACTAGATTTAGTCTCCTACTTGCCCTTGTCTGGCTGGAACAGGCTATCCTCATAAAGACCTAATTCTGATCTGTTCTATCTACGGCCATACTTCTGTAATCCCTATTACAGTTTTCAAGAAACTGCAGAGAAGGCAGAGAAATTCAGAGGTACAAAGAAAATCTGTCAGAGGTGGGACTGAAACCATCATCTTCACTGAAGTGGTAAATTTGCATCCCACGGATGATTTGACCCATTCCACGTGTGCTGTGTGCGTCTCTGACATGCTGGTTCTGATTGGCCTGGGATGAAATCCGCATCGATCTGTGCGACTTCAGCTGAAAGGGGACTTGTGGCAAGCAGTCCCAGCTCACCTGTCAGATCTGGATTTGATTTGTACTGCATGGCACTTGTGCTGCGAGTACAGGAATATCTTAAATTTATGTAGGTTTTGATTTTTATTTACCGTTTTTTCTTGTTTCAGGTTCATGAGCCCATCAGAAGCGACATTCTTGAGCAGGTCCTGAACAGAGTCCTCACAAAAGCAGCGTCTCCTGTCAGCCACTTCATAGGTAACAGGAAAGAGGGAGGAATTTGTCCTGCTCTGTGGACATTCCGA